GTTATCATTCACATTTGATTGTATGGGACTGAATTTAAAACTCCCGTTATGGCTGTATTTCACTGGATTAACCTGATTTTAAATTTCTGGTGTTGGTTTTGACTTGTTTGCACTTTAAAGTGGCCCAGTATTTCATATTTTGTGAATATACTCTATAAAGGGAAAGAGGGAGAAAAGAAATTAGTATATTTAAATATAACTGTGTTTTCTGACCTTGGTTGAAAGTGAGAATTCATAATTTGGTTTCATATCCTAATTTGGCTCTCCTGATCCTAAATTCATTAAAAGTCTTCTAACCCGAGCTGTTTTTTTTATTTTTATTTTATAAAAAAAAACACAAATATACAAATGGCTGCATAACTAAGATACTTAAATGTTTATAAAAGGGCAAAAAAAAAGATAAATAACAGTCTGACAATTGTAAATATAAAACGTTTGATTCAGCGCTATGCACTCATAGCTGTACTAAATTTATTCTAGCAGCTTACTTGTACATTTTACGTCTAGCTTTATACCTGCATGATTAAACAGCATCATTGTGACAACAGCTGTGCATAACAAGGCTGCGTGCACAAATGCTATTTTTTGCTCCAGAACTACAAAGCTGGCTGTCAGCAGCTTGTGTTCCAAGATATCTGTGCTTCTGCTTGGCTTTCGATTATGCAAGTGCTGTGCCGGCGCCACAGGACTAGAAGCGAATGAGTACACCGCATGTGAAATTTTCCCCTTCCTTGAAGATGAAAGGGTGTAAATAATGTATTTTGTGTCACTACATTATTCATCCACTATTAATTGGAACAACCTGGCCTTGGTTTTTGCATGCTCTTTGTTTGACAAAATTTTATTTGTTTTAGGTGTTTTTTTTTGTTACGTTGAGGGCTGTGAATCTATATGCAGGGAATATCAAAGTGCATGCAGCTAAATGCAGAAAGTGAGCTCTCATCCTCCTCATCAACAGACTAAACAATATAAGCTTATTAAGTCAACTACAAGGTTTTTTGTAGATAAGTACAAAATCTCTCTTTTTGTCTGAGAAATTTCCTTTTTCTTGTTAAGCATTAAAATTTCAATAATGAATGGGAGGAAGGGCCATTGAAAATTTGAGAAAGCATAAAGCCATAATTACAAGAGCCCCATATTTCTGCTGTTCATGACACTAAGGCCTGCATACAGTCATAATCGTTTGAAAAACATATGCAATGTTGCAATTAAATTATATGGCCGCTTGGACCAGGGAGCCAAAAAAAAGGCATATACAGAATGGTGAGGAGCCGTTGCTATGCTCGCATTAGCATCTGGCCCTTTTATGTAAATTTGATGAGAGAGGACTCATGCATATATGGCAGAAGCTGGGGTATACTCGTCTAATATCCTTATTAGAGAGGGGTGAATTAAATATTTATTAGAGGGGGACCAAGGGTTAGAGAAAGGGAGGGGAGGCAGAGACAGTCCTGTGTTGTTGTGAGGACCTGAGGTGGAGGAAAGGGTAAAAGGAAGGAGGAGATTGGCTTTCTGTACGAGTGTCTCTCTGCCTCAAGGTGCCACCATCTTAAGGCGTTTGGCAGTAGTGAGAGTGTGGGGAGGGTAGACCTAAAATGTCCGCTGGCACACGCACACGCATACACATTAGCGATTGCATTTTTTTTTTCTACTGTATTTGGGTAGAAAAGAGACCCAAAAGGCAATTTCTTTTAGTTACGGACGCCGGAGCTTTGCATGCTTAGAATCTCATTTGCAACCATTAATTCCTTCGATTACGATCCCTGTGTACCAAATCAAGCTTCGTTTAGCTCTTTAATGCTTGCCGCTAATTAAACGACAATGCAGTGCCGGTGATGTCGAAGATGACCTACCGATTATTAATGTTTGCGGAAACAAATTTTTGGTTATCTAAATAATCATTTTTGACCAGAAAATTTGTTAAATGTATTGTTACCATGAAAGTGGGAAAATGAGAGGATAATTCTGAGTTTTTAAAAATGATTTTAACAATGAAATAATAGAGTTTGATGAGTTGCTAAATGTATATATTTATAGCAAAATAGTCATTTTTTCCCCCTCAAACAGTATTAAGTTTCTTTTGAATATAACATGATCTTGACTCTGCCCCACATTGATATTTGCTTCTCATATTTGGGTCAAAAGTCAAGAGTCAAACTTTTAAATTCTGCAATGCAATACAAAAACAAACAAAACATTGCAAAAAAATCTTTATAGCATAAAATACAGAAAATAATCACAATACAGAACTATAAAGTCATTTGCGAATTTAAATTACTTTTAAAATTATTTCAATGATTTTGAGGATAATATTTTCTTTGATGTTAAAACCTGAAAGTTCTGCTTCCAGCATTGTGGAATATCATAATAAAACTAAATGCTCTGTTTAATAGGTGCCAATCCAAGATTAAAGGTAGTTTTCCTCAGGGCACCCCTGGTACCGAGCCACCAAACTCCTACAGTTCTTTAATTCTTAATAAGGGTCTTTTAAATTTTAGATAATGTAATAGATAAGATAATTAGTTTTCAGTTTTTAATACTGTAGACTTTCATTAAATAAAAAAAAACTACTTCCAAGATGCATTATGCATTTTTGGTAATGTTTCATTGTTTTTACAACATTTGTCAAGTGTGCAGATTTTACTTTTACTCAGCAGTTTAAACAAACTAAGCATGAAATGACAAATGACAGCCAGATGAAGCTGTTCATTTTATAAGTGATTGATTCAAGCCGTGTGTTCCCTCATATCTATCTTGGTTTCTTTGGTCCTAAAGAAATCCAAAACACAAGCTGTACCTGACCTGATATCTGTTAATTATAAATATATGGGCCTACAAACACATTCAAAGCAGGCAGAGAACTCTAACACATATAGTTCAGTGAGACACATTAGCTCATATTTTTAAAAAGAAAAATTGGCGTATCTGAGGTTCACCAGTTTAGTTTACGTTGGTATCCATGCATTTATTCAAATGACAGCCTCTATCACATTTGTTGATGTGTATTTCTGAATATAAACGTGTGTTGCTGAGCATATAGTTATTTTCCGTATATACTAAAATTGTCCGGGCATGCATGTGAAATTATCCCTTTTCTTGTACAGTTATCGCTTTGTTAGCCTTTTATTATGCAAGCGTAGTCAATCCCCTCCCCGTTCCCTCTGATGAGTGGTACAGCCCGGCGTGCTGCCAAGGAAGTGAGAATAATTAAACGGCTGTGAGTTTTAGCCTTGCGTTGGCTAATGGATTATTACCGAGAGGAAATGAGACAGGCAGCATGGGGTGAGCTGGGTGGCAAAACAGGGCCTCTGCTCCGGATAATGAAACACTGAAAGCTACCAGGAGTATACGGAGAAGACACACCTCACCCATAAAGAAAGGAGACACTTTTGTTCTATGCCTACTTCCTTTTGTTGTATAGGTATAAAGAAGTGACAAGCTTAGAGATACGCACTAATACAAGTGTACCACTGTAGTAAAGACACATGCGATGCATTTAAAATGCGGCTAATTTTTTCAAGGAAATGTTGATTACATTTGTGCATTTGCACAGTATAATTATGTAGGAATAACAACAATGGAACCCCCCATATCCATATTTCCTCTAATCATCACTATCCCTCCCCCCACTCAGCCACCTTCCTCACATGTCTTCAGAGTGTGGAGGTAGGAAGAGGTGGGTGCTGGAGGGAGATGGGATGAGACAAGCCACACAAACCGCAAAGGGAACAAAGTGAAGGTAAAGGGGGAGGAGTGCCGAATGGTGTCTTAAACTGTGCTGTAGGGATTGAAATACACATATGCACAGTTTTTTTGGCACAAAACCACAAGGATGCTGGAAGATTTGCGAAACAATGCTCAGTAAATACTCTGTCTGGCCTATGATGCTTTTTTGAACCTGGTGTGTGGTGAAATAAAAACATAAAAATGAATCACTTAATTCAAAGGACTCTTGTGGTGCTTTGTTATTCTCTACTGACTTATACGATGCTGAGATTGTGTTTGTGCTACTGTGGGTTTGTCATGATGGAAGTAGGCTGACAGCTCTAATAAAATGTGGCATCTGTCAATTTGATACTGACATATCAAAGGTTCCACACGATCAGCAGGGACAGAGAAACAAGCTGCATATGCTTCAGAACTGTATATTTTTCAAAAGTCTTAACCTATAAGGATAAGAGTAACCTCATCTATGTATGAAGAAAACAAAAGCAATTTTAAATTGTATTTTAAAGTATAAATGTTGTATGTTGTTATTAGCATGCGTTGGCCAAAATGACTTCATGGCATTTGTGAACATCAGTGGTGATGCCTGAAGTCAGGACAAAATTAGTTCCTACAAAATGTCTAACACTAATGCTGTTGGCTGGTGTTAATCTTACACACACTATGAAATCAATAGTAAATCAATATATAGAATTTAAACTACAATGAGAAATTTTTTTCCAATCAAGTGAGCATTTCAAACTATAAACGAATCTTCTATTTCTTCTTGGATGTATAAGGGATTGGACAGGGTTTGGTAATCTTTACAAAGAATTTACTCACACACAAAAAATTCCTTAGAATTAGTTTGAAAAAAATGTAGCTTATCAACTTTTTACCCATAAGTCTACATTCTAGAAACAGCAACAGAACATTTACCATGATTCCATGTGTAATAGTTTTGGAATAATACTATTAATATATTATTACTTATAATATTATATTTTCAGGTTGAGTGTAATGATATATCTTTGTGAAAAAATTTATGATATTCAGGATATTCCTAATTTCTGGAGATATCCTTGGTATGAAATACAAATTTGAGGCAAAATGGAAAGGGTGAGAGGACATTTGCAAAAAGTTCCTCAGAGTAAAGTTAGCAAATACTCCTATGTTGGTTTGAATCTGTATGAGTAAAAACTAGTTAACTGTTATTGTCAATAAAGGAGCTTTTCAGAAGCTAAATGTAAACATACTTAGCATCATTTCTTCCTTTGTGTACTTTGTTGATGCAGTCATGGCGAAAAGGCAGCAACTGCTCGCTGCACGAAGCAGGGAGAGGAATCCATCACAGGATCTCAGGGATTTTGCTCTTCACTGAACCAGAGTAAGGTAAGATTTGGCTGACGAACATGTGTGTGTATGTTGCTTACCTTTGTGTGCATATTTTTAACCAACACTTTGAGACCCAAATTTGCTTACATACAGAGACCCCATTTACTTTTTCTTTTCTGTAATTGTTTGGCACTACAGCAGCAAAACTTTTAATGACTGCAATAAGCAATTAAAAATATAACATCTGAGAAAATTCACATAAATATGAATGTTTGTCAAAATATGTTGAAATAACAGCATTTGATGATGAGCTAGGATCCAGTTTGTTTCAATGGCTTCTGGTCAGTTTGCTTATAGATTCACCAATTTCATTTGCTGTATTTTAGCCAATGTAAATCAGCTTTCAGTTTTAAGTGTATTTTAATGAGTCCTCACTGGTACTCTGCATATATGATCCTCCTAAAATCGCCCTTAAATTTATGTGTAATTACATTTAGGGGGGAAAAAAATAAGTAAAGCTCAATTAGACTGATTATTGTCCCTTTGACCTTTTTTTTTCGTGAGGATAGACACTAGAATTTGACTTGAGTGTATCCCTGTTCATGTCAATTTAACATAAGCAACATTAGCAGTTAGCTATGGTTTGTTTACAATAGAATAGGTAAAAAGTTAGACGAGCACCAACACTTTTGACTCCCTTTAGGACAGTCCCTGATTGTCGGAATTGGCAATTTTGGGGAAGTAGAAATGGGTGAAATGGAAGCAAGCTAATGTTAGCACCCCTCCATGAAATATGTTAATCCTGCAGGAGGGGCAACGTCACACATTGTAAAAAGCACATTTGAAGGCCTTTCTGGTTGGAACAAAGAGCCCACAGAATAACAAACCGAGGCTGCCTTCACATTCTGGAGTTTTTGGCAGTTTTTACTGAAGCCCAATCCCAAAACACAAATTAATATTTAGATTTATCTTTTTGGATGATGTATCTTTTAAGAATTTTTTTTTTTTAGATTTATGCAACTAAATATTTGCAGAAATACGTAAATATCCAAATATACATATATATTAGATTTCACACTATTTTGCAGGATTTTGCTTTTTACCCTACTTTTATTTTGTTTCTGATCCCCATTTGGACCTGCTGGCTCTAGATTAAACCATATAACTATACGTGGCTTGCTGTATATATTGTTTTGAGTCATATATCTACATTTCCAAACATCAGACACTATGAACAGAGAGCAGAGCACTGCTTTAAATATCCATTATGTAGCCTAAAAAAAATCAAGTACAAAACTGTTAAAACAGAGAAGCAAAGTGACCAGCAACACCATCTGTTCTGTGAGTCTTTGCCAAGGTGTGCTTGTTTGACATCAATAAACGAATCCATGTATGCTGAACAAAGGCATGGATGCTAATTGTTGGCAGGAGGATATATTTAACTCAAGAGACCCAATCCTGGAGCTAGAGGGTATGTTGTAAATACCTTCATTTTTTTTTTTTTGTATTTCAACATCACAATTAAACACAAACCGCACATTTAACCTAGACATCCTTTTATTCATGTCATTTACTCTTAATATCCATACAACTTCTCTATCATCCTAGGCAGCGCTTACTTTGCATGTAGAACACAAACAATTATTTTGACATTTCACCAGAAATAGAAGTGCCATTTTACGAGTTAAAAATGTTAAGCATTATAATGAGTGTATAATTATTTCAAATAGAGAAAAAAGGCAAAAGAATTCCGTATAACCTGCCACAAGTATTTCAGATCCTTTTCTTTGAAATTCTTTTCTTTTTATTTAACTCAGAGACCTCTTGAGGTACGTACTCACATTCGGTGATGGGATTGGAGAGAAGCGATGCTGCAAAATATATATTTATATATTTACATATAGATTCAGAATCCCACTTATAAAAAAGTAAAATGACTGCAAGGTGAAAAAAGGCTGATTAGGTGAGGTTGTATGTCAGCGCCCTTGGGCCCTAGTGTACTATAGTTTAACTGCCTTTAATTACTCCCAAAACTTATTCACTTTTTGTGAAGTTCTCAGAAGGTCCAATTAGGAAAGAATGCAAAGTAAAACAGTAGAAAAAGATTTTCGCAATCTATCCTGTTTCACAGAGAAAAACCCTGTGGATCATTCAATTTAAAGGTATTTGACATGACTGATTTCAAAGCCTATACTGACATTTCAGAAACCCATCTTATGACTTCAGTTAAAAGTTAGTCATAGAGGCAAAACCAGAACATTGATATAAGAAGTGAATGCATTTGTTACAGTTTACATATTAGCTCTGCAAAAAAAATTAAAAATCCTTAATGACATTAGTCAAATAAAAATGTTTATTTTAAAAAATGTCCTTTTAATTGTATCTTCAATAGCTAACTCCAACTGTAATTCTCAGTACAGAATGAAAACAAGGCAGATAATTCCTGGTTTTCAAATCCTGTTTAAAAGAATATGTTTTGGTAATATTTTTAATAATAATAACAAACATAACACCTATGTGAACCATCATGGTTAACTGGTACTAGTGCTTGCCCAGGACCAGCCTTTAATGTTACCAAGTGGGAAGTACCAATAGTGGCTATTATAGACAGGTTTTTATCTTTTGTTTTCAACTTTAAACTTGAACTAGTTTTGTTAGGAACTTAGGAACTGGAGGTGGTTTGGAATACCATGTGTGTAACTCCAGTGTTATTTTTGTTTTTGATCGAGCAGATTTCAGGCAAAAAAAAGAGGAAAGAAAACAAACATTGACACCAAAGCCTAAGCCATACTAAGAAGTTAGACCAGTATTGCAATGATAAGAGATCTATTTCTCTGAGCTTATTCTTGTTTCATCCCTCACAGAATTCGAATCAGTTATTGCACAATACAGAACTGCAGTTTTAGACTGTATTCAACCTCATTCATTAAAATTATTTTACACTTAGTCCTTAAACATACCTGGCCTTTCTACATTCTAATTCTATTTGTAATCTCTAGTAGTACAATTTAGAGATGTTGTTGTATTTGTAATTATGACATGCTGACAAACATCTCCTTGTCAAAAAAAGAATCCTACTAAATTGCCTAGTGATGTAAAAGCTTATCCTTGCAGAGATATAGAGTTAAATGGTTTGATTTGTGTTGTTAAAGCATCACATTGAACTTCAGCTTCAGTGCATAAATATGTATTAAATTCAGTGAACTGAGATGGGATCAACATTCACTTACTGAGATGTTAAGGTTATGTTAACAAAATGGTCCTGAGTTTGCACACTGGATGAAGAAAACCAAAGTAGGTATTTTATAGAAAAAGTTAGAACTGTCTCTAGCTAAAGCAGGATTAGCATCTTTACAACTCTGCTAAGAATCAAATTAGGCACTGCTGCTTAAAGACCTCATTACAAACACATACTAACAGTCATTATAATCCATACAATATGGATTATATTTCTGTTTACTAAAGACCAAACATTCAGTTCCTTCAATCAGGTAAAGTGACTATATTCACTGAGACCAAATTCATATTTTACATGAAACCCCCTTGTAATACAAACTTTGGAACCCATAATCCACACAGATGGGCAAACAATCTTCACAGGGAATATACCTCATTGAGTTCCTCATCTCCTTTGGTCTTTTATTTTACTTGCAGAATCAATAAATGGTTCATGAAGTAAACTCTGTGGAACATTTTGATAATAAAATGCCTTAAAGAAAACTATGGCATTGGAAATGTTTTGCATTAGAATTAGAAATGCCTTGCATACAGCTCAGGGATTTACTTTTTCTAGCAATCTTTTTAATGTATTATTTTTTGTGTGTGTGTATTTTATATACATTTGCATATGAAACATATTACATCATAAATTCTAAAACTCAAGGGATACAAAAATATTTGGACTGTAAATTGTTCTTTAGTCGTCTATAACCAGTAATAAAACCAAATCATGTTTACTTCATATAGCTGCTCATAATATATTTATTCATTTTATTTACAGTTGTAATCTATCAGACATGCATATGGGCGCTAAGGCCGCTTACGGTTAGGGTACTATTGGGAGCACGTCTTTATAATGAGACCCTCAAATTATTAATATAAACCCCCTAACACTCGAACTGGCAGACTCCTAAGCCAGCAGTGGTAGTTAACAGTTATTAATAAAATGATCTGCATATGTCTGAAAAACTACGGCAGGCTAATATCCATACTTGATGCCTGCATAGTGTCTGATCTACAGCGATTAAACAACAAAGAATTAAAATATGCCCTAAATGTTTTATACAAAAGATAAAAGCCTTTGAATTGATTCTCCCAAAAGGCTTCTGCTGGATTACATGATACAAAAAGCAAACACTTTTAATGCTTAAAAAATCCCATCAACTATCTACAAAAATATTGCAAATTATGTGAAAGGGTTTTATGAGTATTTTCATTTCAAATTATAATTCTCCTATGTCATATTTTTGAAATAATTCCATATTTTATCCTTAGAAGCCATTCAAAGCATCACAGGCACTAATGCATCAAAACTACAATTTGTATTTTCTTTCTGCACCATATTTCCGCACTGTAATATACATATTTTTTTCATTAAACCAGTGTTTAATTATATATTATTTTTACATTTTATATTCAACGAGCGTTGCCTTGGATGCATAACAGAAATCCATAGGGAGGGTTTTTCCTGCATCATCCTACAGTCAGAACAAAGGATATGCACATGCTGAAAATCATGCAAATACATGCAAATTGCCGGGGGCGAGAAATAGCAGTGTGTGTGGTAGGAAAGGAGTTTGTACGAGTAGAGAGGAATACAAAGGACTCCACATGATTGTTGGTTAGATCTGTTTACCCACAATGCCTAAGGAATATGGACCTCTGCATCTCTATTACTTTATTTATTCTTTGTTAAGGATCATTCTATTTATTATGATGCAAGAAAGGGCACAGTAGGAAGACTCCTAAATGTGGTAAATGCAAATGTGACAGACAATACCTGAAAACAGCACTCAGCTTAGACAGAGTGTGCATATTCGTAAGGATGATGCAATATT